TATTGACAAAGTAACCTTGGGGGTTCAAAGAGCTGGTGACTTATTACTTTCCTCGAGATAAGGGGCCCTCGCCTGGCCTGGGGGAGCCGGGACCCGGGACCCCACGGAGGCCAAGGCTGGTCCCCGCCCTTCCGCGCCTGCCGCGTTGCACGGAGCAGGACTCCCTGGGCCATCAGGTCAATTTAATTTCCTAGTGGCCACACAGGCTCGTGGGACGTCGTACCGTTCAGCGAAATCTAAAAAATAATGTTTGCTTTTGGTGTCCGCCACACTCACCACTGTACACAGTGAGCGCATGGCCTGGGAATCTTGGTAGCAAGTTCATATGACAACACGGCCAGGATGTCGACGCCACCGAGGGAGGCCCAGCCGGCCCCCACCCCCAAGCCGCTAGTCCTCCTTCCTCCGTGGCTCCATTTTTAGCGGGCACGTGTCTCAGATGAAAGACTACATTTCCCAGCGTCCCTTGCACTGAGGTGGGGCGTATGACTGTGTTCTAGCCAATGGGGTACGAGCAGCTGTGGCAACGCAGCTCCCGGGAGCCGTCCACGGAGGCGACGCCCCGCCTCTTCCCTGCGGGCGGGAGCGCGGCCCGCACCCCTCCCCTCTGCGGGCTGGAATGCAGACTTGATGGCTGGATCTGGGCCGCCATGCTGAGCCATGGGAACTAAAAGCCGGTCCAGGAACTCTGCGGAGCCCCGGGCCACCTACGCCAGCTTCACCGGGCTGAGGAATACACTGTCTTGTGGACCCCGCTCCCGTTTCAGTTCTGTCATTCTCTTTGGAGAGTTTATGGGATGCTCTGGGCGTCATTCCCTTGAGGGTTCTTGTCCGCGGGGCCCGCAGATGGCTCTGGGGACCTAGTAAGGAGGCTCGCAGCCCTGCAGAGTCCTACCCACTAACACACGTACCGGGTGCAGGGCGGAGTTCTGCCCTTGCCACCTCCGTGAGAGGAGGGCGGTGGGGCGGCCCGGACGGGCCTGCGGTTCCAGCGCGGCCTCCTTCGCCGAGGCTCCCGGCGTCCCGACAGATGGGGCCGGGTCCTGCTCCCACCTGAAGCGTCACGTGCGGCGGCCACGTCCACGGGGTCCTGCGGAACACCTACTCTTTGAGGCCCCAGGCCTCCCCTTCCCTTCGGACCGCGAGAAGAACAGCACACCATTGCCAGCCGCTCGTTGAGGGCTGTGACGGGGTCCCCTCTCCAGAGTCTGGTCTGGGGGTCCTGGGGCTTCAGAAGCCAAGACTCGCCGAGGGCACCCGCCGCCGCCTCGGCCCCAGGGCGCCTCTGACTTTGCGGCCGCCCTGCCCGCCCTGCCCGCCCGCCTCCCTGGGGCGGAGGACTCGGGACCACGGGGTCCGCGCAGGGCGCAAGGCGGGAACGCGGCGGCCACAGGGCGGCAGCAGCACCGCGGCGGCTCCGTCCCCTGCGCCCGGGCGAGGTCCGTGCTGGGTCGGAGTCGCCTCCCCACCGCCGGGCGCACTCGGGCCCCACGCGCGGCGGCGTCTGGTGGGCGGGGCGGGGTCCCTGGAAGGAGCTTTCCGGGTGCGCCTGCGCCCCGCCCCACCGTCCCCGCCCTGCGCACCGGGGCCCCGAGCGGCCCGGCGGGCGTCGAATGCAGATATCAGGCTTTGTGAGCGGCCCGGACCCTGCCCCCGGCGCGCCCCCCGCAGCCCGGACCCTCCCCTGGCCCCTCCCCCGCGCGCCCCCCGCGGCCCGGCCCCACCCCTGGCCCCTCCCCCCGCGCCCCGGCCCGGCCCCTCCCCCGCTACCCGGGCCCGGCCCCCGCCCTTATTAGCATAGCAGCTGCTCGCCGAGCCGGACGGCGCTGAGGAAAGGGCAGAGGCCTCGGGAATGAATGGGGGCCGCGGCTTTGGAGGCGAGAGAAGAAAGACCGACAGACGGACGCGCGGAGGACGGTCGGAAGGACGGCCTCGCAGAAGAATGCGCCGGACGGGCGTGGGGGGCTTCCCGCGGGGGGCGGGGCGGCTCCGGGCGGCGGGGCCGGAGTGTGCGGGGTGGGGCGGAGGGCGGCCTCCCGGGGGCCCGGCGCCCCGAGGGTCTGCGCCGGAGGAAGGAACGGTTGCCGAGGTTCCCAGGCGGGCCGCGGCCCCCTCCCCTCGCCTGCGCCCTCGCATCCCGGCCTGGGGTTCGTGCCCCAGCCGTCCCCGGCGCGGGCCTTCTTTCCCGTCCTTCAAGGCCCGGGTGGACGCGGCCTCCTCCCCGCGGGCCCAGCGAGCCTCAGGGGTAGCTGCCTTCGGGAGGTCAGAGGCTTTTGCGCCGGGTGTTCCCGCGTCCACGGCCCCTCCGTCCCGGCTTGCGCGGAGGCAGCTTCCTCCCGCTGTCCCCCGCACCCCGGCCCTCCCCTGGCCTGCTCCCACGCCTGCTGGCTTTAGACATCACTCTTTCTAGCATCTTCCTGCATTTCCTGGTCTTTCCGTGGCGTCCGTTCCAATGTAAGCGCTTCCTGCCTTCAGCCGGGGTCAGACCAGAGACAGACAGTTGGACGGGAGCCCAGCAGTCCTGGCGGGGTATGTAGGGCAGGCCCTGACCTTGCCGGGACTGTTTCCTTTCTCTCAGGGGTTCCCAGGGACGCAGCGCCCACCTGCCAGCCCCCCCACCCTGGCTCTCCTCCGTGCCTCTCGGCTGGACCCCTCCCCTGGCCTCCAAGGCACACCTGCAGATCCAGGAGGCCGGAGCCCCCGGAGGAGGCTGGGCCACCCAGGCCTTCCTTCTCACTCTGGCCACAAAGGGCCTGCCTGGGGTGGGGGTCTGGGGACTCCCCAGTAACTCTGCCGTAGGCCAGTACCCACCATAGCTGCTCATACCCACACCACCCTGCCGCAGTAAGTGATCTGCTGAGCAGAGAGCCCCTGAAAGAAGTGTGGGCACAGGCCACTGAACTCGGGAGGGAAATGGGCATGAGATGCAGCAGTTTTCACCTGGCCACACCAGAGACCAGGGACTTCCTCCTCTTGGCCCGTACTCCAGAGCCGCCCCCTCCGCTTGCGCAGGGGCATACATGTGCCCACTCTGTGGCCGGGGAGGCTCACTCTTGGTGCACACGTGGCCAGCCTCCCCTCCACTGAACTGCCTGTTCTTGCAATGTGTTGCCCAGGGCTCCCCGACACGGACAAGGCCGTGGGCTGTGCTCAGCGCCCCGAGACCTCCCTCCTGGGCTCTGGACACCTGGACCCTCCTGAGATTTCATTCATAGATCTGACCCCAAGAGGTGGGGTCAGTCGGGGTTTCACAGTGTGTCTGCCTGCACCCCTGCCCCCTCAGGCTATGCCAGGCAAGGAGGCTCAGCGAGGCTGGCCCCAGCCATCCGGGCTGGTCAGTGCACACAGCGGCACCTGGGGAGGAAGCACAGGCCCCCCAAGGCTCCACCCTCCCGGCCCTCCTCTCCTCAGCTTACCGGCCAGTGTTCCTTTTGTTCCTGCTGGAGAGAAAAGCAGCACTCTCAGTCAAATGTATCTTTCAGAAGAGAGAATTTAAGAGACTACCTTGCCGGGCGCGGTGGCTCAAGCCTGTAATCCCAGCACTTTGGGAGGCCGAGGCGGGTGGATCACGAGGTCGAGAGATCGAGACCATCCTGGTCAACATGGTGAAACCCCTTCTCTACTAAAAATACAAAAAATCAGCTGGGCATGGTGGCTCGTGCCTGTAATCCCAGCTACTCAGGAGGCTGAGGCAGGAGAATTGCCTGAACCCAGGAGGCGGAGGTTGCGGTGAGCCGAGATCGTGCCATTGCACTCCAGCTGGGTAACAAGAGCGAAACTCTGTCTCAAAAAAAAAAAAAAGAGACTACCTTTCCAGGATCCTGTGCCTGGGAGCCCCCGGTGCCAGGCCAGGCCTCTCCACGGTGGGAGAATTTCCCAGATACTGCAGGGGTAGCAACTGGCTGGGACCCCACCCACCTGCAGGCTAGTGCCAAGAACAAAGGTTACCTTGGTTTTATCAGACCCTGGGTGGGGAAGGGTGGCGTGGTCCAGCATACCCGTGGGCCGCCCTGGTGATGCCCAGGCCTGCCCTCATTCTCTGGACACCCCAATTGTGTCAAGGTTCTGTGGCCACATCTCCTTTCCAACGGCTGGGCACCCCCGAGCTGGGTGAGGGCAAGACTTCCCAGAGTCTGCTTCAGGGAGCTGGCCCATCTCCTGGGCCAATTCCGCAGGGTAGGAAATGCGTCAGCAGCGGAAAATGGGCCTGGAAAACCACGGGTAAACAGGGAGCAGACGCAGAGCAGGCACGCGGAGGTGGGGTCTGTGGCAGGGGCCAAACTCTGCAGGACAGCTGGGGAGGCAGGTTCCCCGGCCCTCGGAAGAGGAGTCTGAAGGCAGGAGAAGTGGTTACCTTGGAATTCCGGGGCTTTGCCGCCGTCCAGTTCTCTGCTGGGGGCGGTGTCTCAGGAGTGGCCAAGTCTCTGCTCCTTTCTGTCAGGTGCTGGCAGCAGTCACCCTGCTCTGCTCCCTTCTCTTGCATATGTGGGTGCTCAGCACGACGCTCAGGTCTGCCTCAGCATTTGTGCTCTTCAGGGTGCCGGACTCCAGGCCTGTGTGGGCTTCCCGATACCTCCAGGGGACTTTCTGCTTGTCAGGAGTGAGCAGCTGTGGTATTTGCCCCCAGTTTGAGAGATATCCCTTCTGTGCCGCAGGCTCCCTCCAGCGTGACCCCTGGGGGTCGGAGTGGGCAGGGCTGCAGGCCCAACTCTCCCCTCTTGGGGGGTGGCGGTCTCAGCGGCTCTGCTGGGGAATAGAGGAGAGGCTGTGGCACCACTCTGGGCACTCGGAGGTGCTGGGTCCTCAGGAGTCCTGTGTGCGGCCCGGCTGGGCTTGTCTGTCGCGTGGGGCTGGGAGCCAGCTGACCGGGCTGTCTTCAGGCAAATACAAGCCAAGCACTGTGCAGACGGCACCCGGAAACTGTCGCAGCCTGACCCTGACCCCCAAAGAGGATGTTCCGCCACTTGCGCTGAAGCCAAGAAGGACCCACAAACTTTTTCTTTAATATAAAAAGATCAATGAAAAATTTATTTATAAATTTTTCACACTGGGCTACAAGTCAGTATCGTACACTCAGGAATGTGCTGCACAGACTTTATCCAGTTAGACGTGATCATCCCGTGACCCACACAGCTTCGATATAAGCCTAGAAAGTCTTAACATTAATTAACATAATTAAAAAGGTATTTGCATCTAGAAAAAATATACAGAAGAACTCCTTGTGGAGTAATCTGTGCCTCCATTTCAATGTCTGCTTGTTTCACTGACATTATCAATATATTCTTCTCACACAAAGTTTTATAAAAAGCCACAGAGGGCCGCCCGAATAGGACCAGCCACGCACAAAGGGCCTCCACCCACCTGTGTCCTCAAGTGCTCCCCATTTCTGCACGAAGGGTCAGCAGCCCTTCCATGAAGGGGAAACCTCATTTAAATTTGAATAATTCAGCCTCCCTTTTATTTCTCAGGATCAAAACAAGAAGGGGTGTGGGGCTGCATAGAAAATCAGAGCCACAGAAACCAGGAAGGGCGCCTTTCGGGACCAAAGTGACGCAGGAGAACCTCCCGGCCCCAGGTCTCGAAGCGGCCCCTCCCCCACGGCAGGATTTCGGATTCGAACGGAGTCCTCGAAGCTCTGGGAGGCTGAGAAGGGGCAAAACGGTCCTTCAATTCACTCAGCCATGAGCACAAGAGATTCACAGTCTTATAGGTATTTTATAAAAATATAAATATGGGTACACTCTGTTGCCTTCACAACGCTGGATACATCGCCCTTTAAAATTGGGTTTATAACCAAGATTCAAAAAATACACCTAAAACTTGGCTTAAAATATGTTAATATTTTATATTGTCATAAATGTTATGACATTTAATTGTGGCAAATCCATTTACTTTTTAAAAAAAGTGTGCAACCGTTAACTATGATAGAACGCACTAGAAAAGGTAAGGAACGTCCCCTTCGGCCCCTCCCCGCCCCCGTGTCCCCGCCACCCTCCAGCGCCAGCGAGCTTCCAGGATCACGGGAAACTGCAAAACAGGCCGGTGTGGTGGGTGGTGGCCTCATCCAGGAGGGGCGGGGGAGAGAGGCCCTGGGGCTTCCCAAACTCACGACTGGAGGGAGGACGAGGGTGGGGGGAGCACGTGGGGAGAAGGGGGGTGGGGGCGGGGCGGGGGCGTGAGGGGCAGCTCGGGAACACCATCGAGCTGGGCGGCATTTTCAGTGCAACCAAGAAATGGGAGACCCAAGTTTTCAAAGATTAGAAAGAAACGCATCACTCCCCCGTGACCACGCACAGTATTTTCCAAACAAAAACCAGGCGCACAAACTTCACCCACAAATGGACACACACGAGATAAATAGTTGCGGACACCCGGAGCCGCGGAGCGTGTCCTCGGCCCGGCGGCTGCTCCTCGGCGCCGGGCGGGTCCTGCAGGCGGCAGCGGGGCGCTCCGAGTCCGCCTCGCCCCCGCCGCCCGCCTTCCACCTTCGGGACGACACGTTTCGCGCGGAGGATCCGGTATCTCGGGATTCCGGGCTTGCTGGTTGCGAGACTCAAATTTCAAAAGGGGCTGGAGTCCGCGCCCCGCCCCCACCCGCGAGGCGGCGGGCGGCGGGCGGGGGCCGTGGGAAGCTGCGGCGGCCCGACTGGGCCCGGCGCGGCCGCGGGGAGGCGCTCGGCGGCGGAGCTGCCGGACCCCGGGGCAGGCCGGACGCACGCGCCGCGGCCGCGGCCGCGGCCTCCCGGCGGGGCCTCGACCCGGCGCACACCGAGGTAGTTGGCGGGAAGGTACAGCAGAAACGACGCGCGCGGGGCGGGGCGCGGCCGGGTAGGGCCGGGGGCGCGGCGGCATCACCGGCCGCTGGCCGCGTACTTGGCCTTGGTGATGAGATAGAGCACGATGTCCTGGTGGCCGCCGAACGCCGCGATGTGCAGCGCGCTCCAGCCGTCGCGGTTGGCCAGGCGGATGTCGGCGCCGAACTTGACCAGCAGCTTCACCAGCTCCAGGTTGCCGTCGATGACCGACTGGTGCAGCGCCGTCTGGCCCTCTGGCCCGAACGAGTTCACGTTGAACTCGCAGCTGGTCATGTTCTGCAGCAGCGACTGCAGCTCCTGCGTGTTGCCCTTGCGCACCGCCTCCTGGAAGATGCGCTGGGTCTGCGGCGCGGAGCAGGTGGACAGCTCGGCCTGGCTCATGCTGCCGCCGGGCGCGGGCCGCGGGCCGGGCCGGGGCTCAGCGCGGGCGGCGGCTGCGGCGCGGGCCCCCGGTTGGCTCGGGGCGCGCCTCGGCGCATGGAGGGCGCGGCGTCCCCGGGCCCCGCACGCCGCCTCTGGGCGCTCCGGGCGCTCGGGGCCGGGGGTCGCCGCCGCGGGGACCCTGCCGCATCCAGCCGCGCCCGGGTGGGCGACGGGGGGGCGCGCTCGGCTCGCGGGGGCCGGGCCCGGCCGGGGACGGCGACGCCGCGCGGTCCCGGTGCCTGCTCGGTTCGGATGCGGCTCCCACGCCGTTCCCACGCGCCTCCCCACGCGCCGCAGCTCTCGCTCGCCTCCCGCGCCGGGGCGCCTTTTACCTTCTTTATATTTGCATAACAATGGAAGCCCGTGACGCGCGCGCCGGCGGCCCCGGGATTGGGCCGCGCCCACGTGGGGGCGGAGCGCGGGCGGTGCCGGGCGCGGGGGGTTGGGGGGCGGGTCCCGGCGGCGGCGGCGCGCTTCGCGGCAGGGGGCGCTGGTCGCCGGCCTTGCCCGGACGGAGGAGGCCAGGTGGCCGCCGGGGGGGTCCAGGTCTGTCGCCGCCGAGGTCCGCACGCCCCCGGGAGCTCTGCATCTCTCCGAGGTCGTCCCGCCCCTTCTCCCTCCGGCCACCCGGGGAATTCCAAGCTCCTTGCGCAGCCAGACCCAGGCCTTGCCCGGGACCCGAGCGCGACCGCCAGGTGGCCCCGAGGGCGGCCTCTCCCGGGAGGGGCGTTCGCGGGCATCTCAGACCGCGGCGAGGGAGAGACGTCTCTGCGCGGAGAGGCGCGCGGCGACAGCGGCCAGCCGGGCCTCCGGGTTCACTGTCCACGCGGTGGCAACTCCAGGAAGGGCCCTGACGTGGGGCCCTCAGCCACGCGGGTCCTTCCCGGGTGTGGGCAGCCTGACGGCAGCCGGCTCAGCCTGTGTTTGCCCCAGCCGCACTGATGCGAGGGACCCCCGCGGCTTCCATCGCCTGCGGTGGAGGGGGTCCCGCTGTCCTCTCGGGAGGAAGGGGGACGGGGGGAGGGGGGACAGCTGCCCACCCACCAGCAGGCGGGACACAGGGGTCCTGTCCAGGTGAGCAGGGCGAGGTGCGGCGCCGGGGCTGTCTGAATTCTGAAACCACTGGCTTCCAAACTGTAAAACCCAGTTTTATTGGCCACTCTAACAATTGACCGGGAGGCGCTAGCAGGGGGAGGCGCGGCATTTCCTCATTAGGGTTTTACAGTTTACAGCTCGCTGTGGTCGCTGGAAATTAAGGAGGAGTGATTCTCAGGCGTGGAGCAGGAGGCCGGGCAGGCTGGGGCTTGAATTCCTTCTGAAGCCAGGCCGGGAATTCCGCGCGAACAGCTCTGAGCAGGGGCTGGGGAGACCCCCCTGCCAGGCCTTGTCTGCCGACGCTCTGCCCGGCCACCAGCCACAGGGCTCCTGTGGAGTCTGCTCCGTGCCCCCACGTCTAACTTCTCATGGGACTGTGTCCCCATCCCGAGTTGTGCCCACACTGCCGGGAAAAACCTGGCAGGCCCCCTTCAGAACTGACCCTGGCTGACTGGAGCAGGGCCGTGCGCCCTGGGGTCCTCCTGGTGGCTTTCGAACCTCTGTCCCTCGAGGGCACAGTTCAGAGCTCGCTCTGGTCTTTCTGGGGCCGTGGTCTTGCTGGTTTTGTTCAGGCCTCTCCCCTAGGGCTCTCTGCTTCTCCCAGCAGCTCTTAGGGGGCCACGGAGGCTGGGAGGCTGCAGGTGGGGACACAGTGGAGCAGGCCTCCATTAGAACAGAGATGGGCGCTGTGGGACCAGGCCGCAGCAGGGATGGCATTGCCCAGACCGCCGCGCCATGCCCTGCTGGGCACCTTTGGCCTCTTAAGTGGGGGGAGCCGCTGGGCTGCCTGCACTCCCTGGTGCGGAATGAATCTCTGGCCCTCGGACCAGGGCTGGGTGTGCAGGTGCTCCGAGCACACCGTCAGGAGGGCAGCAGCTCCATCCTGGGCATTGGTGGGTTTTGTGTATCTGCCCAGGGCCCAGCCAAGCTAGACGGGCAAGAGGCGGAGGGCATGGCTGGGGGCTGGGCGGAGCCCTTGGCTCTCAAGGGCACAGGCCCTCCCCTGGAAGGTGGGTGGTTTGCAAACAGGCTGAGGCCCAGGTGGGCTTAAGCCGGCCTGGGGAAGGCATTTGGCTCTGCTGTGGACCAGAAGCAGCGCCTGGGAGAAAGTCCCGCCGACATCCGTGGCGGCGCCTAACAAAGGGGCCCTGTGTGAGTTCGGTGTGGGAACGCGGGCCCGCCACGGGCGTGAAATCGGTGGCGGCCCCTGGTGAGGGCCGGGCGGCTCGGGCGCCCTGGCAGGGACAGTGTGGCTGGTGGGAGCCTACCCCCTGCCCTGGGTTCGCTGGGGTCTGGAGTGGGGTCAGGCAGAGGTGGCCGGGCCTGGCCTGCCGTGTGGCTGTGGCCCAAGCCTGTGGCCAGGCTCATCTGTGGGGTTCACAGTCCGGCCACCCCACACTGCCCACGGGGAGAAAGCTGAGAGGCGCTGGCTCTCGCTCCTCCACCGTGCACAGTGGCGCCAAGCTCCCCTGGCCACACCCACGGCCCTGAAGCTGCTCCATCTGAGGACGGGAAGGAGGGAGGGGCCGGGGCAACGGCTCTGAGACAGCCCTTCCCGAATGTTTGCCGAGGGACATCCAAAAGGTGGACATCTGTTCCAAATGCTGGGGCCTGGGGGCCACCTCCAGCCACCCTGTGCTCGTGCCGAGGACCCCCTGGTGTTTGCTGGTGTTGCTTGGGCTGTCCAGACGTAAACAGGCAGGGAGCCTTCTGCTGTCTGGGAGCCCCTGCCTTGGGACCCCAACAGGCTCAGCCCCGACTGCAGCTGGGCCCCGTCCTTCCTCCCTGCCTGTCCTGAGGCTGCTGGCCCCGGGGCGCCCTGCCTGTAACCCACCCACCCCCAGAAGGCAATGGTGGTGCCCCTTCTCCCTGCAGGCACCCCCTTCCTTCCCTTTCCTGGAGCCTCAGATCAGTGAGCCACATGGGGAGGGAGGTCAGTGTGGGGCGGCTGGCCCGCCTGGGAGGGCCTAGGGAGGACAGCACAGAAGGGGCAGCTGGCCAGAGCTGGGCCGAGGCCTGCGGCCACCTTAAAGGCACTGAGCAGGGAGGGAGGGTGGCGGGCAGTGGGGGCGGGGCTTCCAGCTAATTCATTAAAATGTGTCGGGAGCGTGGGAAAGAGGAGAGTGTTTCTTCCCAGCAGCCCAGACACCTGGTAGAAGGGCTGAGAGGATCGAGATCAAATAACAAACACTCAGCCCGGGCCAGCGCAGGCCGCAGCAGAGGAAGGACGGCTGGGCAGGAACTGCCGCAGACAATCCCTGCGACCATGTCTCCTGCCCGCCAGGATGGCCGCTCAGGGCATGGCCTGGCACCGGCAGCCACAACCATCCAGTCAGCCTGGGGTCTGTCCCCTAGCCCAGGAAGCAGCCTGATGGGTGCTGACCCCTAGAGCCCCAGGCTGGCTTCCAGCACGTGGACCCGGGTCGGGAGTGGGTAGACAGCCTCCCCTGAACCAGAGCCTGGGCCTGGGACGGACGCCACAGAGCCAGGCCGAGCCTGTGCTGGGCACTGAGGGGTGTGTGGACGGCAGCAGGGCCACGGTGGAAAGTGGGGGCAGGCGGAGGCAGAGCCGGCCGGGAGGGACGGAGGACCGTGGTCTCCGTCTTCCCGCAGCCTCTGCTCTGCTCTGCCCTGCCAGGGGCCCACAGTAGCTCTCAGGTCGGGGCTGGGTGCCATGCGTGTCTCCAGGATGAGGCCGGGCTGGGCGGAGGGTGGGTGCCCTCAGCCACTCCGTCCTAACCCCGCCAGGCAGGAGTGTGGCCAGGGTGAGGAGCCGGGGTCCCCCTCCTGGAAGCAGCACCACAGTCCCAGAGGCCCTGACCCTCTCCTGGGGTCCCGCTCTGCTCTCCCTGACACCCCTGCCTGACTTAGGCTCAGGCCCCCCAGCTGCCCCACAGGTCAAGGGGGCAGGTCAAGACTGGACAGTTCGCTCTGACATAGGCCAGGCCCTTCCCGTCTCAGCCTCACCCTCCCCATCTGGGAAGTGATACCCGGCTGGGTTGCTGGGGGCTAAGGTGCTGGACTGCAGTCCCTAGGGGTGCCCAGGGACAGTGACCAGCCCTGGTGTGGTCGGGGCCCACAGGGAGGCCCCCACTGGGCCAGTCCAGGGATGCCCAAGGCCTTTGCGCTCGAAGCCTGTTCCTCACTCTGCCTCTCCCCAGCCCCCAGGCCCCTGCAGCCGAGGCTTCCGCCCGGGCTCCTCAGCCAAATCCGACCTGATTTCCGCTCCAGGCAGGAAGCAGAGGAAAGGGATGTGGGTGACGGGAGGGGGCACATTCCTGGGACGGCCCCTCCCCGGGCTCCTCCTCCTCTCCCACCTGGGGGACCCCCTGCCCTCCCTTCTACCTGGCACAGCACCCTCAGGTCCTCAGGGTGGGCAGCAGTGGTCACCTGGGGCTTTGTCCTCCTCCTAGCCAGGGGCAGCAGCTGTGAGGACAGAGACGCCTGCACCCACGTGTGCAGAGCTCTGGCTGTGGCCGGCTGCGCAGGTGCCTCCAGCGGGACTGTGGCCGATGCTCTCCCGCAGCGACCACACAGCCCTGACGGGGGTGATGGACAAACCCCACGGAGACCACACAGCCCGATGGGGGTGACGGAGAGATCCCGGGGGGACCACACAGCCTGATGGGGGTGATGGAGAGACCCTTCAGGTCCCACTCGGCTCGTGGTCCCAGCATCCTATCTGGAAACCCTCATCTTCCCCCAACAGCTGCTGGGGCTGGGACCCGCCCTGGTGTTCTCGGCACTTGCTGGCACACGGAGGGGCCCACGAGGGGCTTGTGGGGCGAGCATGAAACGTCTGAGCAAGTCCACAGCCACGGGCCCAGCACTCGGCATGTTCCACGTTTATTGCCCTGCTGTCCTCAGAAGGAGCTGCTGGCCGGGCTGGGGGCTGGGCTCGGCTCACAGGCGCCCGGGGCGCTCTCCAGGACGTCTTGGAAGTGGGTGGCAACACGACCCAGGTGGGAGCCATCCCAGAAGACCTTCCCACAGCGCGAGCAGCAGTAGAAGTGCTGCAGCCCCGGTGTCCTCAGCACGCCCGCCGGGACCCTGGCCAGCTGCAGCCGGGTGCCGTTGGCCAGCGTGTCTGGCGTCTCTGCACACAGATCAGCCGCCTGCAGCCAGCGGCAGGGGCGGTCATGGGTGCAGCCCCCAGGAGCTTCCTCTGGGGCTGGACCTGGACAGAAAGAAGGGGACTCCCTGAGCCCTCAGCCTTCGGGCACGGCCCCGTGTGCTCTGCAGGTGGCCTAGTCGGTGGGCCCACACCCACTCCCCAGCAGCTCCTCCTCCTGCTCCCCATTTGCCCACTGTGTCCTTCCACCTCCTCTGTACCCACTTCTCTCATCCAGGGGCCCCACCCCTCACTTTGTGGGCCCTAGGGCACATGAAAGCCTCACAGAGCCCCCCGGAGTCCCCTCTGCCCAGCCAGGACCCAAGCAGCTGTGTCCTTGGTGAGTGGTCCCAGGGCTCACCTGGCTCTTGCCTCTCCTGGCTCTGGGTGGCCTTGTCACCTGTCAATCAAAGATAAGAACTGGTCCAGGACCTCCTGGGGATGGGGCTTGGCGGGCACCGGTCACCTCATGGAGTACAGCCTCTCACTGCGCCCTCCCAGCCTTCGGACGGGTCGAGGGCAGGAGGCCAAGAAACTGGTGCCGGGCTGGTCCCCTCCCTTGGGAACTCACACCTCAGAAAGGTCTTAGGGCCCAAAGGTCCCTGGGAAACATGTTCCAGGCATGAGATCGGCTGATTAGGGATCTTGGGGGCCTGAGAACTGGTGGGCGGGGCGGGGGCAGTCCATTTGTGGTGATGAGCAGATAAGCCCACTGCCAGGGAGCAAATTTCGAAACCAGCCAGCACAAGGGTGGGGGTGCGGGCAGGGCCCAGGGACTGCCAGGCTCAGGATCTGTGGGAGACCCTGGGAGGCCCCCGGCCCCCACTGAGAGCCCCAGGCAGGCAGGGCTGGTAGCCACCCAGGGGTCACTGCAGGGCCGAGGGCACCACTGGCCAGCAGGTGGGAGAAGCGTCCGCCCTGCTCCTGTTGACCCTGGGCATTTGCTCAGCAAGCATTTCTCTACAGATGGCTATGGGTCAGCTGCAGCCGGGGATGAATGCATGAGGCTCCTACCCCAACCCCAGCCCCTCCTGGAAGCTCAGGAGGCCATGACCCTCATCTGGCCTCCCAGCCTCACTCCTCTGTGTCTGGCCCCAGCTCTTATCCTGCAGCCCCTGTGACACCCATCAGCCCATCTGGGTGCTGCCCATGACCCTAGGGTAGGGTGTGTGCTGTCGTGTCCTGAGGCTGTGGCCTGAGTGTGCATTTGCGAGTGGGGGTGGGGGGTGGGGTGGGGGGGACCTGAGGTTAGGGGCCACCTCCGGCCTCGTCCTCCAGGGCTTGCTTCACTGGCCACCCTGGGTGATGCTCGCTACCTGTCCTCCCACCCTGGCCTTGGACTGACCCCTTTCTATCCACCTCCATCCCTTTAGCCCCCATGCCGGCCCCGCCTGAGGGGAGCAGAAGCAGCATCCTCCACTCCTGAGGGCGGGGGCGGCCGTTCTGCCAGGGGTAGGGGGCACATGCTTCTCATGAAGATCTAAAGCTGCAAAGTCTTTGGGTGGCCTGCACCCTCCACAGGGGGAGAGAGAAGCCCTCTTTGTAGTTCCACAGGCAGGGAAACTGAGGCGAGGACCATCTCTGGGGAGGGTGGACATCTGGTGTTAGCTACTGATGTGTGTAGCTGTAGGTGCACAAGTGTGTGGGCACGTGTGTGGAGGTGTGTATATGAAGCCGTAGGTGCACGTGTGTGAAAGTGTATGTGTAGGAGTGTGTGTGCAGGTATAGGTGCATGTGTGTGCATGCAGATTGTGTGCACGTGTGCAAGCGTAGGTGTACATGTGTGCACATGCAGGTGTGCATGCATGTGTGCGCAGGTGCATATGTGTGTGCTGGTGTGTGTGCACGTGTGCAAGTATGTGCAGGTGCACATATGCAGGCTTGTGTGTGCATGTATGCAGGTGTAGGTGCGTGTGTATGCAGGTGCATGTGTATGTGTGCGGGCATGTGTGTGTAGGTGTAGGTGCATATGTGTGTGCTGGCTTGTGTGTACGCATACACAGGTGTAGGTGCATGTGTGTGTGCAGGCATAGGTGCAAGTGTGTGTGTGCTGGCATGTGTGCATGTGTGTGTGCAGGTGTAGGTGCATGTGTGTGCTGGCATGTGTGCATGTGTATGCCCATGCATGTGTGTGCAGGCTTGTGTGTGTGCAGCTGTGGGTGCACGTGTGTGTGCTGGCATGTGTGCATGTGTGTGCCCGTGCACATGTGCAGGTACACAGTGTGTGCAGCTGTAGGTACACGTGTGTGTGTGTGCACATGAACTGCGTGGCTGGGCCCAGCAGAGAGAGGGAGGCACGCACCACTCCAGAGGGGTGCCCAGAGCACCCGTGTCCTGGTCTGGTCTGCTACCCTACCCAAGGGAGCAGAAACCATCTGGGTTACTGACCCTGGCCGTGAGTGCTTTTCCATGTGTTGTCACCTGGCTGCCACCCTAATCTGAGGAAACTCAGTGCTGGGCGGGCCAGGACCCCTCCCTGGCTGTCCCAGCAGGTCAACCCATCCCAGGCCCCACAGGTCCAATGCCTGGCCCCGACACACTCACCCGAGGTCCTGGGGCCCTCCTGGTGGCCGCTGAGCCGCATGAGCTGCTTCATCATGTCTGTGGACACCTTCAGGTACTGGTCACCGTTACAGGCCTGGGGGCCAGAGGGGATGCTGAGGCCCAGCGGGGCTTCTCCAGGTGCCGTCTGCCCTAGCCCTGTGCTGGCTCCTGGAAGCTCTGGGTTTGGCCAGGGGGTTTTAGAGATAGATAATGGGTCCCCTCCTGTCCCCACCCATAGTTCTGTGGGGTTTAGGCCACGCCGCCTTCTGGAAGCCCTCTCTGACTGTGCTAGCTTCTCATGGGCCCTGGGCAGCCTCTTCTGTTTTTTGAGAATGTGTGGGACTCTCTGCCCAGATGCCCTCCCCAGTTCTAGAGCCCTTGAGGGCAGAACCAGGTCTGGGTCCCTTTCAGGACACTTCAGCTTGGGCTTTGGACACGCATCAGCCCCACAGTTGCCCTAACCCCGATCTGCTCATTTGCACGTCCACATTTCTCCGTGATGCCTGTGCCCGCCACTGTCCTGCAGCTGGCGTGCCCTGAAAGTGGCGAGGGCTGGGGGCAAAACCACTTTGTGCCTCGTCCAGGGCACACAATGGGCTCGTGTGCTGGAGGAGTGGCTGCTTTTTTTGAGATGGGGTCTTGCTGTCACCCAGGCTGGAGTGTGGTGGCACAGTCACAGCTCACTGCAGCCTGAAACCCCAGGGCTCAAATGATCCTCCCACCTCAGCCTCCCGAGTAGCTGGGACTACAGGTGAGTGCCACCATATGCGGCTAATTTCTGTATTTTTTGTAGAGATGAGGTCTCACTCTGCTGCCCAAGCTGGGCTCAAGTGATCTCTACAACTGGGTTTCCCAAAGTGCTGGGATTCCAGGTGTGTGCCACACCCAGCCCCTCTGGGTGGTTTCTGAGTATGACCAACCTGCCAGCCTTGCTGGATGCTGGGGGTGGGGCGGGGAGGCTGGGAGGCTAGGACCAGCTTACACCCCGGCTTCCTGACTCGGAGGGGATGCACAGCTCTCCTAGCAGTCACTTCCTGGACAGAGACGGGTCCGATCCCCAGGCTCCCCGGGCAAAGCCAGGAGGGGGCTGGGTGCCCACTGAGAGCCAGGTCCCAGGCAGGCACCCACAGGTCCTGCAGAGGTGTGGCCTTCCCATCACAGCCCTTCTGATGTCAGCACCCCCTGGGGAGGAGGTGGGGCTCCCAGGCCGCCTGGGCAGGGAAACAGGAAAGCAGAGGCCAAGATCGTGGTCACATGGTGATTCCAGGCCCCCGCCCCACGTAGGGGCTTTGGGCGAGCCCCGGAAGTGTCTGGGATGACTTGGCTGCTGCAGGCAGGTGGCCTCGAGGCCCCTGGAGCCTTGGGGTGTGGCCGTGTTGGGGGCACTGGCCCTGTCCCACAGGCTTTCTTCCCATGGGCCTTTTGACGCTAGGAGGCTGCACTGCAGCCCCCACCAGTTGAGGGCCTGGGGCTGGGAATGGCAGACAGGTACAGCTCTTCGGCTAGGAGGCCCAGACTGGGCCGGGGAGGCAGGACCTCCCTTCCTTTTCCCCCAGCTCCCATCTCTCCCACCAGGAAGCTCCTGTGCTATGATGGCAGGTCCTGTGCCCTGGCCTCTGAGGGTCCGGGGGCTTCCTGGGGCAGGTGCGCAGCTGGAGAGCGCTGGCAGCAGGTGTGGCTGGGAAGGGCTGAGAGCAAGCATGTGGCCCACCGCCCACAGAGCGCCCTCTCCGCTGTGTCGGCCACCTGCAGCACAGTGCCAGTGGGCATGGGAGGGACCCCAAGGCTGCAGGAGGTGGGGTGGGCTCCACACGCCCCCAAGTCCTCCACATGGGGTCCGGGGCCTTCCCAGGACCTGGGCCAGGTGCGCACGCCTGGGCGGGGTCAGCCAGCTCGTGCTGAGTCACTGGGTGCCATCCGAGAGGGCCTGGCCCCACCCTCGGGAACCACCGGGGCTGGTTTTCCCACGGCTGATGCCCGCTGTGAGCCTTGCTGTCACCCACAAGGCCCCGGGAGGCCCTGCCTCGGCCAGGGCTGGAAAAGCCAGTTCTGGGCCTGCTGCTGGCTCCCGCCCTTGGCCCTGTGTTCCCCAGCCACAGGGAGCCTGGCACCAAGGGCCTCCCTGTCCATCTTCTGTCCACTCCAGGGCCTGCAGCCCTTGCCGGACCCACTGCTCTGGGCACCCACTGCCCTCGTGAGTGGTGCTGGTGGCCCAGTGCAGCCTGGCCTTCCAGAAGGTGATTGTCCACCTGAGGCCTTCTGCCTGATACCCTAAGACCCATCCCCAGCACTCAGGGGGCTGAGAGCCTCTGCCCTCCCATTTTAAAGAGAAGGGGCTTCTGAGGGCTTGCTCAGCCACAGGGCACTTGGTGGGCCAGGACCCCATGCCAGGTCCTCATGCTGCCTCCCTCCCTCCATGTGGGATGCAGACACCCACTCCAGGGTGTCATCGGGTGTGGGCAGAAACAAGTGGGGCCTGAGGGGACCCTGAGCAGAGGCCAAGGCTTCGGGCTCAGAGCGGCACAGCGGGTGCCTGGGCACTTCCACCCCACCCCCTCCAGCTTGAGAGCCTGAGGGCAGGCAGCCACCACATCCAGAGCCTGGCTGGGACAGAAGGGTGCCTGAGGGCCTGGGAGGGCCCAGGTGAGTCGGGGGCAGGAAGTGCTGGGAAAGCTCCCAGATGCCCGCCCAGGATCCCCTGTGCGCCTGGTTCCCACGCTCCTCAGCCGCTGGGTGCCAACGCTGCTGTGCCGGCCCTGACGCAGGCACTTCCGCCCCAGACCGCGTGGGCAGGGCCCTGAGTCCATGGGTGTGTGGCTGCCTCCTGGGGCCCAGGCCACCAGCCAGGCTGTCCCGGGATGTTGGTGTCCATGGACCCACAGCCAGGTGGGTGTGAGTTGCTGCCCACCCTCCACGGCCCTCTCCTCTCAGCCACGGCCCCAGAGCTGGCTGGCCATTGGGGGAGGCGCACCCAGGACCAAGGCAGAGGCCAAGATGTGTTAGGGGTGGGGTGGGCAGCGAGCTAGGAGGGCGTCAGGGGTCTGTTCTCAGGGTGTTGGCTGGTCTCTTGTAGGAGCAGGCTCCCAGCCTGATGGGCCACTGCCTGCTGCCCTGCACCCCAGGACACGGGTTCCCTACGTCTGGCCCTGACAGGTCCCAGCCCACCACCAAGAGTGACCACAGCTGAAGGAGCCAGAGCAGGGCCACAGACGGTGGCTCCAGCAGTGTCTGTGTGCCTGCCTGTCCTGGTGCCCGCCTGTCCTGGTGCCCACTCGTAGGCATGGGTCATGCCACTGCCCCAGTCTGCAATCCTGCAGGTGCACCAGCCTGTGCACCCCAAGCAATAGGGGGCTGGTGCACAGGTGTGGTGAGGGTGCTCCCAGGCAGACAGGGCTGGGCAGCTGCACACAGCCCCTGCGCACAACACCCCTGGCCCTCACATACCCCTGAGGCCCTGGGCTTGACAAGTGAGGGGCTTTAGGGAAAGGCGAGGGCAAGCTGTGAGCCCTGGGACCTGCTATGACCAGAACACATGGGGACTCCATGTGGCGGGGTCTAAGGCAGCAGGCACTGGACTGTTGTGTCAGGGGCCTGGGAAGGGCGCCTCGCTCCTACAAGAGACTGGGCCAGGTGCCTGCTGGGCTGGGCTGGGCTGAGGTGACCTGAGCCTCCTTCCTGCCTGCTGGCCACCCCCAGAACACCCACAGCCCTTGTTCTCCAGGCCCAGGATCACAGGTCCAACCACGAGGCCGCGAATGAGCCCAGATCCCTTAGTGATCTGGCCTGAGGCCTTTCTGCTCAGTACCCAAGCCCAGCTAGACACTAGCCCCCTGAGAAGGTGGGGTGAGGGTGGCAGAGGCCTGAAGGGCCTCTTTGGGGCCTCCTGCTTCTGAGCAGAGAGCAAGCTTGTTGCCTCCTCAGCCTGGGCATTTCTGCGCTCCTCCAGCTGGGCCCCATGGCGGGTGTGCGAGGAGGGGCCCTGGCCTGGGTGGAACCCCCGCAGGATATGCCAGCCTGGGATTTCCAACCCTGCAGATGGGTCTAGGAGGAGTCAATGGCCTGAGGCCCACCAGGCAGGGAGATGGGGTGGGCTGCAGGGGCACAGTCCAGAGGCACAGAACATTTCATTCATTTAGAGCTAACTGGGAAACCTGCGGAGCATGAAAGAGCAAAAGAAAATCAATCTCTCGCTGTCCGGCCGCCGCCCGCCACACGGAAGGGCCCCCAGCACCCTCTGCCTCTGCATGGCAAGGCTGCGTGCCAAGATCCTCATGGTGGGAAGAGGGTACTGGGGGTGTATATCACACATTTGGTCCCTGGCAAGCCCCTGGGTGGGTCCCGAGGCCCCAGGCCAGCCCACGCCCTCTGACCTCCCCCAGAGCTGCCCACCACATACATGGTGGGCCTGGCGTGCGGGCCTGACACCTCGCTGGACAGGGCGGGCCGGTGGCCCTGGAAGAAGCGATCGGGCACCAACCTGCCCACTGCGGCCTGGGTCTGGCCCACACTTCAGCTTCCCACGCTGTCCCCAGAGCTCCTTGCAGCCCTGGGCTGCCCGCCCAAAGGTGACCCAACGCTGTCCCCTGCCATGGCGCTGTGAGCCTCCTCAGAGAGAAGGGAGCTGCCAGAGTTCGCCCCAAGAACCTGCCCAGCCCTGGCACTGATTTTCCACTGGAGACAGGGCTGGGGTGGGTGAAAGGCCCAGCCCCAGGCCCCTGGGGAGGTGTGGAGCCGGGCATAGTGGCCGTCTTTAGGGAAAGTTTTAAAACTGAGTCTATGCTGGTGGCCACCCCCCAGTGATCCCCTCCCTAATGCTCCCGTCTGGAGCCTGTGACTGAGGATGGCAGACCCGGAGAGGCCGCGACCCTGCCCCCTTGCCCCCTGCCCCCCCGCCCGGGGCCCTGAAGGGCAGTTCCCACGAGGCCCAGCCCCTCCCCCACCCGGCCACTGCCCGTCCCCTTTGTGTGGTCAGGACAATGTCTCCACAGACAGCATGGGGGTTGGGCCTTGGGCAGGGTCAGCATCCAGAGGGTCCCTGGGGGTCGGGACAACTGGGCCTATAGCCCGCACCCGAGAGCCCCCAAAAGCCGGGGCCCTGAGCGTAGAAGAGGTGTGACAGGGAAGTGAGTCTCAGGAAGCCGAGTCTGCGCACACTCTCTAGTGAGCACCAGGGACGGGGCGTCTGCGCGGGGTGGGTGTCAGGGCGTGAACACGGAGGCCCGTGACTGCCTGTGTTGGCCTCCCGGTCAGCTGCATCCCAATGTGCTGCCCGGAGCCACTGGCCCTGCCTGGACCGCCGGGCTGACCCCAGTGCTTGCTTAGTGGGGTGGGGGCTGGCACCTGGCAGTGGAGTCTGCCCTCATTGGCCCAGCACCTGTCTGCCCAGGTTACCCCAGACCAGTCGGGGGCCCAGCCTTTCCCTGGGCACCTCCCAACTGGGCTTTCAGGTCTGGACCACGAAGGAAGGCAGCCCACCCTCTGCCCGCTGGCCTTGGTGTCTGGGAGGGAGGGAGCCCAAGACCCAGGGCGCCTCACCCCGGTGCCCAGCATCCCTCAGGGTGTGGCCCTTGTTCCAGCACACCTGGGGGCCCCGGCTGGCCTGTCCAGGAGGGCTGGGGGTGAGCCGCAGGGCTTAGGCAGGAGGCGAGGCCCTCACACGGCCTCTCCCACCCACACGGGCTGGTCAGCCCCCAGCGGGGGAGGGGACGGCAGAACCCAAAGCCCTGAGCGTGAATTTCAGATAAAGCTCAGGGCTTTATCTGAAAAAATGATCGTTTTCTGAAATTCACGTTAGCAAGTGTGTGTGTGTGTCTGTGTGTGTGTGTGTGTGTGTGTGTGTCAGATCCCGGGCCTGCCCGAGGGTGGGAGCCCCAGACCCTGCTCCCACCTGCCTGGGGTCAAACCAAACACAAGCCAGGCCACTCAGGCTGCCCGCGGCGCCCTGGGTCTCGGGCTCCCTCCAGGGGCTCCGGGGCGTCCCCACACCTTCCCCATCCCTGGGGGCGGAGGGCAGCTGCCCCTCCCCCTCACCGTGGTCCCCCCTGTCTCTGAGACTCCCAAGGAGACTCCCCTCCCCCTTCTCCCCTCCCCCGGTCTCCAGGGCTTCCCCTCCCCCCTCGCCCCCCAGCTCTCGTCCCGGTCCCCTCCCCCGGCCCCCCCAGCCACAGCGGGGCGCGGGGCGCGGCGCGCTGGCTTTCCCAGACGGGGGAGGGGCGGCGGCCGTGAGAACCCGCCGGGCCGGGCCGCGTGGGAAAGTGGGAGGAGGGGCGGCGGAGGGCGGGGCGCGCCTGGGAACGGCCCCCGCCTGCGCGGCCGGCCTTTGAAACGGCCACTCAGGGCGCCCGGCGGAGATTCGAAAGCCAACGGCCGCCCGCCCGCGGCCTTCCCGCGCCCGCCTGGGGGACCCGCCCGCCCGTCCAGGGTCGCAGGGGTCGGGGGACCGAGACCCCCCCTTCCCAGGGGCCGCGGGGTCGCCGGGGGACTCAGCCCCCCACCCACAGAGGGGGGTGAGCCCGCGCGCCCCGGGCGTCCCCGTCCCAGCCAATGGGGCCGGCCCGGGGCAGGTGGCAGGCCCTGAACCCGCCCCACGCGGCTCCGGGGAGACGACAGAGTCCTCCCCCCGGGAGCGGTGAAGGGCCCCCGTAGGCTGGGGGACTTCCTGGAGGAAGCGCCATCCAAGCTGGGGCCTGGCCAGGGCGAGAGGGAGGCTGCTCTGGGCTGCAGGGGTCCAGGGACAGGCGCGGGCAGGTGGGCGGGCAGCCTTTCTCACCCGTGCCCGGGGCTGGGCAGAGTCACTGGGGGCTGAGTCTAAGAAGAGGCCGCGTGGGAGCCGCGTGGGCCGCTGGAGCCTGGGAGCCACGCCCTGCACAGGGGCCTGGGTGTGAGGGGCCCCTCTGTCCCTCCAGGGGGTCGACGGGGGGTGGGGCATGTTGTGGGCTCTTGAGCTGAGGAGCCGGGCAGGGCAGGGACCCCTTCTTTCCCCACCTCAGCAAACCCGTGTCCTGAGGTGCAGGCGCGTGGGCGCGGCTCTCCTGCTCAGGTGAGCCAGGTGACCCGGGTCATTCTCTGAGCCTGGCTGGCCTGGAGGATGGTCAACGCGAAGGGACAGGAGATCCCAGTGCCTGTCCGGGAGGTTGGGTGAAACGGTTGCCGGACACAGACCCTGCCTCGTCACCCCAAGGAGCTCCCCAGAACTCCCCTCCTTGAACCTGGCCAAGGCCGGTCCCTTTGCCTGCACCCCTGAGCCCCCGAGGCCAGCCTGCCCACCCCATCCATCCAGGCTGTGCAGAGAGTGGAGCCAGGCCCCGGGGACACCTGAGGAGGGCTGCATGGCCCTCAAGACTCTGCCTGGGTTCCCCAAAGTCAGCAATGGGGTACCCCAGCCCCCTCCCCCCAGCTCCAGGGAAATGCCTGTGCCCACCCCTGGAGGCCTGACTGGCACTTGGGGCCACCGTCCCCTGACCCCTCAACCTGCGGAGGGTAAGTCCTCCTAGGCCAGGTCTCGGCGGCCGGTGCTCCTGCATCCCCATTCCCTTACGGTTTCTGCGGGTCCAGCACGGGGGAGGTGCCCAGCAGCCAGGCTGAGGCCTGGTCTTCCAGTCCAGCCGTGGAGGTGTGGAGCAGGGGAAGGCAGGCCCTGGTTCCCTGCAGTCCAGCACGGTCCCCAGACAGTTCCGGGTACTGAGGGGCCTCTGCTTGCTGCCCACGTGGCCAGCTCAGCCCTGCCTAGGGTCACGCACGTCCCACTGCCCGCTGACCTTGGAAGCAGCTGCCCTGGCCCAGACACGCAGCCATGCTTGCTCAGAAGCCTCCCAGCCCCACTGTCCAGGCCCTAGGTCAAGCTGTCCTGCTTGGGGCTGGAGTCACTGTGGCTGCAGCTGTCCAGGCCACCCAATGTCCACCCACACCCCATGTGTCTGTACATTCCCAGGGAAGCTGCTCCTGAGCCCTGGTGCAGGGAAGCCCTCCACTCACCCAGGCTACGTGCAGGCGCTTGGCTTAGGGGCATGCTGGCGTGGGCGGGGGACAGGGGGCTCCACATGGCCTCACCGCTCACCCAGGACGATGGGGGATGCTTGTGACATCATGGGAGGGCTGGGGCATGTGGCCAGGTGCCGTGGTTTCCCGATGGACGGGCATCTGGTGGCAGCTGTAAAGGGTGTGAGGCGGCTGCCACCAGGGCCCAGGAAGGCCAGGATCCTTCCTCAAGTGACCAGGTGGATCTGGGTCACCAGGAGCCTGCAGCCCCCAGGCCAGTGGGTCCAGGTCCTTCATCCCCAGGGGCCATCTGGTGGGAACCGAGGTTGGGCTCCGGCTGAGAATCACGGCTGGAGGGTCCCCAGCCCAGAAGGCTGTGGGGAGGTGGCGTGGGTGGCCTTCTGGAGGGACCAGCTGGGCCCCTGGCTGACCACCCTCCTGCCAGCCCTGGGGCCTGCACTGAGCTTCCTGAGGTGCCATCCCCTCCTCTTTGTGCCTAGCCTGGGGGGCATGCTGGACCCCCGGCTGCTGAAGCAGGAGTCAGGCCCTGGAGCCACCTGAGGAGGGGCTGCATGGCCCTCTGGCCATCAGCGCTACAGTCCCGTGCCCTGTCTGGAGGGCCCATCTTCCTCCTGACACCCTGGGAGCAGTGGAAGGAGGTCCTGCACCCTGCGTGCCTGTGTGACGTGGGGGTGCCGGTGTGGGAGTGGAGTCTGGGCTGAGGGGACAGAGGCTGGGAGGGGTGGGGTCTGTGGCTACTGCACCTCCTCCTGACGGTCTCTCTGCCCATCAGCTAAGCACAGAAAATGTGGGGGTCTCCAAGCCTGCGGCAGGAGTGGGCGGCCTGGGCCCCCTGGCTGGGTCTTGGGTCTGGGCTCTGAAGCCCCTGTCCACGGCCAGCTGCAGAACCGTGTGTAAAAGCCAGGGGCAGCTGCCCCGGAGCCCGCTCCGTCCCCTCCGTAAGAACGCCCTCTCGTCCCCCTCTCTGCTGGGCTGGTATCCACCACCCTCCACAGGGTCCCTGCCCAGCCCTGCAGGGCTTCCAAGGTGCCCATGAGTTGGGCCCCGGCTGCGCCCCCATCCCCTCCGCGATGGCCAGCTCTGCCTGGGAGCCCTTGGAGGCAGGGTCGCTGCGGCCTCCTGGGATGCCCACTTCCGAGGGCCTGACGCCACTGGTTCAGGGCCTGTCTCCGTCGGGACGGCAGCCCGCTCCCCAAACACGCCGAGGGATGGGGGCTGGGGACAGTAAAAATAGACGCTATGCCTGGCCATGTCAGGGGTTCATGGTAAGGGTTTTTTTTTAAGCTCAAGTTTCTTTGATAAAATATTTTCCCATGGTGGACGGCACTAGGAATGTTCCCCACCCCCACCCTGCCCCAGAGGGCACAGCCCTGCCCTCTACTTGAGACTCAGCCCCATTGGGCTGGTGGTCCATCCTCCCTTGAGGGGAGCCCCTCCCTGCCTGGCTCAGGGACACCCGTGGGCAGATGCTACCAGAAAGCCAGTGCCAGCAACCCCAGCACCCAGGGCTCCCACCGCTTGGGGTCCCTGCTGAGTGGTGGAGCTGGCAGTGGCCACAGACCCCTGGCCAGGTCCCTGGCCTGTCTCTGGGCTCAGCCACGCCACCCGGAGAGCACCCCAGCCTCGCACGTCCAGTGGGCTTTCCCTCCGGGAACGGCACCAAAATAGCCAGAGGAAGGAGAAGAAAATGGAAAGTCAGGCAGGCAGCAGGCGCTCTCCAGGGAGGTGGCCGGCTCTGGCCCGAGCTGGGGGACAGCGGAGGCTGTGAGCCTCAGGCCCTGTGACCAAGCCCAGAGCCAGGCCCCGGGGGCAGCTCCGGGGCAGAGGGCCCATCTCTGCTGCTGTGTCAGCCTGAGGGTGATGCTATCTGCTGGCCAGTGGCGGTCAGCAGCCCCCTGGTGTCCAGACAGTGCACTGTGGCCTCAGGGCAGGGCTGGGGTCTGCAGCCATGTGGAGCTGCAGACTGTGCCCACCTTGCTGGCCCTGAGGACGGGGCCTCCCTTGGCCCGTAGGGTAGGGATGGGGCAGCCAGCATTTGGGGTGGCCGGTCAGTGGTGTTCCCGGCTGCCCACTCAGGCCACGCTCCCAGGGTTCGGCTGCAGGGCTGCTGGAGTGGGTGGTGGGAATGTGGCCTGAGCCTGCCCAGTCCTAGGAAGAACTTTCCAGAGCTCATGCTCAGCGTGGGCGTGTGGCCTGGGGCCCCGGCCCTCCAGGCCCCAGGCACCTCTCAGGACTCCACAGCCAAGGAGGCAGGCGCACACGTGGGACCTGGGGCTGCGGGCACCGGGGGCAGGCGCGCACGTGGGACCCGGGGCTGCGGGCACTGGGCCACCAGCTGGCTGACGAGCTTGTGCAAAGCAAGGTCCATTCTCCCCAAGCCGATGCCCTGGAAGGCTGGTTTCAGCATAGACATCTCAGCTTCTCAGAGACTAGACCCCTTTCCTGCCCTCCTGGCACCATCTCGCTGGCCCTGCGGGGCCCTCGTGCATGTGGGGGGCCCTCTCCCCACAGCACAGTGTCACTTGCCCAAGGACACCATGCTAGGGCCTACCAGGGTCCCAGCCCTGACAAGGGCCTCCCTTCCAGCTGGGCTCCCACCTGACGTCGCAGGTGGCCCACACATGGGACTCTGCATGGACTGGCACCACGCCTGCGCCAGGGGGCTCAGGTTCTGGCCGCCGGCGGGTGCTCTGCTCCCAGGCCAGGCAGCCACAGCCCCTGTGGGACACATGGTTCTCTCCTGGCTGTGCCCCGCCCAGCATCTGTGGGCTGTGCAGTGACTGAGTGTGTGAGACCCACGTGTCTGCAGGGCCCCAGGCTGGGCAGTCTGGGGTACCAGGGCAACACGTCTGTCCCTTCCCCATGTCCTGTCCCACACGGAGGGGCTGGCACGGGTGGCAGGTGGCTGAGGGCTGCAGCCAGGGCCCAGGTACCCTCCGGGCTGGACTCCTGCTGGCTGTTGCATCTCTGAGATCCAGCTGCTCCCTCCCTCACTGCCTTGGTCCTGGGCGGCAGGTGCTGCCCCTCTGGGCTGTGCATTTGCTGGCCCCCAAGGCGGGTGTGGCTCTGGCCCAGCCCCTCCCAGGCCTGCTCTCTCACAGAACCTGCAGGCCCCCTGTGCCCAGCGTTCCTGTTTGCCATGGCAGGGGTGGCCTTGGCGCTGCAAGGTGTGGGTGCCAGTGTGGCATCAGCAGCCGGAGCTGCCAGCAAGGAGGCAGGGTGGACATGGGGCCGGGTGGCTCCACCTGCTCAGCACCCCCCCACCTCCTTCCCGTCCACTCAGTCAGGCCAACGTCCGCTCTTCCGCCTCACACCCCGTACCCCCTTCTCCACGCAGGGCTTGGCGGCCCCTCTGTGCCTGGCCTGGGTCCTCAGGGGCGCTCCCCAGCACCCGGCTGCCCTGGGCTCCAGCAGGGGTTTCCTCCCAGCTATCCAACTTCCTGTTTTCTCAAGAAAATGCAGCCATCAGATTCTGAAAAGCTCATTAACATGCCTCCCCAGGCGTCCCGGACATCCTGGGGTCTTTACAGCGCTTGCCGGAGGCAGCGGCCGGACGCGGTTCCTGCCACCGGAGCCCCAGGCTGAGGGAGAGGCCGCTGTCCCCGCAGGGTAGTGGGGCTGGAGGGTCAGCTGCACCCCCAGTGCAGGGGCCTGTGTGCTCAGGTGCGTGGCCCGCCGCAGGTCAGGAGCCACAGCTTCCCCTCTTTCCTTCCTGCATCAAACCCAGCGGGCCCAGCCTGAGGCTTCAGGGGCAGGAGGGTGACAGCAGGAGGCCCAGGGCTGCGTCTGTCTACTCAGCCAGGTGGGCACCCCAGAGGACCATGCTGTGGAGCTGAGCTCAGGGCCCCTCCCTACCCAGCCCAGGTGCCAGCAGGGACCCTGGCAGTGGCCTCCATGAGGGGGTCTCAAAACTTCCCCAAAAAACTGGGCTTGGGAGGCTGGGTATAATAGCTCACGCCTGTAATCCCAGCACTTTGGGAGGATGAGGCAGGTGGATCTTCTGAGGTCAGGAGTTCGAGACCATCCTGACCAACATGGTGAAATCCCATATCTACTAAAAATACAAGAATTAGCTGGGCGTGGTGGCTCACGTCTGTAATCCCAGCTACTCAGGAAGCTGAGGTGGGAGAATCACCTGAACCTGGGAGGCAGAGGCTGCAGTGAGCCGAGATTGAACCATTGCACTCCAGCCTGGGTGGTGGAATGACACTCTGTCCCCTCACAAAACAAAACTAGGCTTAAAGGAGCAGCCACGACCCGCTGCTCTGGCGGAATACTGATGTGGTCCTAACTCCAGAACGTTCTGGGAGCTTCCGACAGCCAGGACAGCCCCACAGTCCCCCTCCTCCCATGTTGCCATGGAGAGCCTGATGCTGAGGGCAGCCTCACCATGTCCTGGCGTGGAGGGGCAAAGGCAGCATCTGCTACCCCCCCGGCCATGCCTAGGTGCCCAGTGGGCTCAAGCCAGATGGCTGGACAGTGCAGCTCCGGGGTCCCGGGCAGCTGACTCAGCCCAGCCCTGCACTGGGGACAGGACAGGAGGGAGAGAAGTGAGTGGGGCTCTGGGGCCACCTTCCGCCTCCCCATGGATGTCCACTGAGGTCTGGCAGTTCCCACTCAGGGACTCTGTTGCCCAGACCTCGCTAGACGTCACCAAGAGATGCAGGCCGCTCTGTGTGATGCCTTTGGAAGGCAGGACCTATCCAGCCCACAGGGACGTCCACCGTTTCCCTCGACGCCTGCCAGAAGCCCCGTGCGGGCCGGCGGGAGTTCCCCAAATCCAAACCAGCGCCTGCTTGGGGCCGTGCTGTCCCCTGGCCCTGCTGGCTACCGGCCCCAGACCCCGACCCCTGATCCAGTGCCAGCCTGAGGAAGGACAGGTACTTGGGACCCACCTGGCAGCGGCTGAAGATGTCTGCATGGGTGACACGCACGTTGAAATGCCTGAGGACAGCCTTGGCCTGCTGCTGGGCCTTCAGGGAGCCGTCGACCAGGAGGCAGCGCCCAGCCCCGACCTGGGCCCGGAGCTGCAAAGGCACGGCTAGGCTGCTGAGGGCAGCATGGAGCCTGGCACCTGCCCAGGCCCAGCCCGCCTCCACCAGCATGGGGCAGGGGCCCTCTCTCGGCCCATCAGGGGTAGGGCAGAGGCGCCGGGGTCCAGCCCACGGCAAGCTAACCCTGAGGTGGGGGTGGCCGAGGGGCTGGGAGCTTGGGAAGATGGGGCTCGGCTCCTTGGGCTCATCCGTGGGGTGCTCACCGTGTGATAGGGCTGCCCTGACGTCAGGATGATCCTCCCCTCCAGCCTGGCGATCTGTGTGGGAGGGGAGACCACGGGTGAGCTCCGTGCTCCTGGGACCGGCCACCTCTGCTCGCCGCCCCCCAGCTCCCCGGATCCTGGCCCTGCCCCAGGCTCCCTGTCCCCCAGGGCAGCCTCTGCCTGGGGTTTGCATGGTGAGGAGCCCTGCAGCCCGGGGCCCAGGTGCAACCTCATTGTGAAGATTTAATCTTGGCACCATGCAAACATTTTTCACAATTACAAACAAAATCAAATTTAAAAAGCCATCCCTCAAAAGCAGAAGAAAATGAAAGAAAACATACACAGAGGTATTCCAAAAGACTCCAGATATTTGAAAACACAGTAACTTGACCCCATAGCTCTAGGGAGCTAATCACATATCAGGAATGAAGAATATGCTGTAATCACCCCCTCCTGGTGCAGGACTGACCCGCGACTCCATAGCTTGTGTGAGCTGCGGCATAACACACACGTTCCATTTTGTTGATTTTTTCAGTATTAGAGTTTTCAGTTGACAAAGGAGATAAAAATTCAGGATATTAAGCTTACAGGAAAACCCCTGGATAGCTTCAGTATGAATTTCTGAAGCCTCCTGGGTTCAAGCAATTCTCCTGCCTCAGCCTCCTGAGTAGCTGGGATTACAGGCACGCGCCACCACGCCCAGCTAGTTTTTTGTATTTTTAGTAGAGACGGGGTTTCACCATGTTGACCAGGATGGTCTCCATCTCTCGACCTCGTGATCCACCCGCCTCGGCCTTCCAAAGTGCTGGGATTACAGGCTTGAGCCACTGCGCCCGGCTGTATGTTATATATTTTTTAAAACGTGCGTTTCCATACTCTGCCCACTGCAAAGGCCTAGAGACAAGGCCCTGCAGCTGGGAGTTACACCCATACTGGTTTCTACGTACATTTTACACTGAAAGGAGCCTGAGCTTTCTGGAGAAATGACTGATTCCAGATCTAAGGCACAAATCAGACAATGAGGCTGGAGCGTCCAGACCCTGCAGAGCCATGGTGACGATGAGGCTGGAGGATCCAGACCCCGCAGAGCCACGGTGACAATGAGGCTACAGCATCCAGATGCCACATCTGCCTGCCTCAGCCTCCCAAAGTGTTGGGATTGCAGGCGTGAGCCACTGAGCCCGGCAAGATAGCTTTCATACAAATTAAAAAAAAAAAAAAAAAAAAAAAAAGGAAAAATAAGTATTGGTGAGGACGTGGGGAAACTGGAACCCCCAGGCATTGCTGGTGGGAACATCAATGGCGCAGCCACTGCGGACAACGGTGACAGTTCCTCAGAAAGTTAAACACAGAGTTAGTGTATATGATTCAGCAGTTTCACTTTTAGCTCTGCAAGCAAAAGCCCTGAAGGCAGGAACTCAAACAGAGACTCACACATCCGTGTTCACAGCAGCCTCATTCAGAACGGCCAGAGGGAGAAGCAGATGACAGGGCACACCCTCCAGCCTCGGAGAGGGAGGCACTCTGACCCGGGCGAGGCAAACCCCGAAGTCACGCCGAGGGGAAGAAGTCAGACACAAACCGATGGGTGTCACTTGACCACTTCTCCCAGGCACCTCAGACAGGTAAATTCATAGAGGGAGAAGGTAGAACAGTGGCCCCCAGGGCTGGTGGGGGAGATGGGTAACTATTGGCAGAGTGTTTGGGATGATAGAAAGTTCTGGAAATAGGTACCCGTGCGGATAAATGACACTGTGAATGTACCTAATGCCACTGAATTGTACACTTAAAAATGGTCAAAATGAGGCCGGGTACGGTGGCTCGCACCTGTTATCCCAGCTCTTTGGGAGGCCAATGGAGGCAGATCACGAGGTCAGGAGATCAAGAACATCCCGGCCAACGTGGTGAAACCCTGTGTCTACTAAAGATACAAAAATTAACCAGGTGTGGTGGCACACACCTGTAGTCCCAGCTACTTGGGAGGCTGAGGTGGGAGAATTGCTTGAACCCGGGAGGCGGAGGTCGCAGTGAGCCGAGATCATGCCACTGCACTCCAGCCTGGGCGACAGAGCGAGACTGCATCTCAAAAAAAAAAAAAAAAAGAAGTTCTAGGCCAATCCCAACAAAGAAAGAAAATAAATCCCTGGCAAAATACGCGTATTTAAGAAAGCAAGGCAAGCAGTATAATAGAATTGACAGCTTTCAAATGGACTCAGGGAAAAACAGAATGAATTCTGCTAACAAAATTTTGCTGAACAAAAGCTAAAAGCATTAAAAAAAGATGGCGAGGCCGGGCGCGGTGGCTCACACCTGTAATCCCAGCACTTTGGGAGGCCGAGGCAGGTGGATCATGAGGTCAAGAGATCGAGACCATCCTGGTCAACATGGTGAAACCCCGTCTCTACTAAAAATACAAAAAATTAGCTGGGCATGGTGGCGTGTGCCTGTAATCCCAGCTACTCAGGAGGCTGAGGCAGGAGAATTGCCTGAACCCAGGAGGCGGAGGTTTCGGTGAGCCGAGATCGCGCCATTGCACTCCAGCCTGGGTAACGAGAGCGAAACTCCGTCTCAAAAAAAAGGGAAAAAGAATAGGAAAAGTTGTACAAACAGCACAAATTAAGACAGTATGACTAACCCAAATTCCATCAATAATTACAATAAATGTAAGAGGACTAAACTCGTAAGTTAAAAATCAAAGACAGACTAGATTTTTAAAAAAAATCCAACTAGAAAGAGTTTACAGGAAAGACACCTACTGTATAAAAGAAGGTTGAAAGTAAAAGGATGAAAAAGCTGTCTACCAATACCGAAGACTATTGGAGAAATGGTAGTAGTGTTAGTTAAAATATATTTTATAGCAAAGAGCATTACTAGGGTCAGAGAGATTCACCTCATAATTATAAAAAGATTTCACACAACAGGAAGATATAAGAATTCTGGTAATACGTATATGCACCTACTAACATAACTTTAAAACATATAAAGCAAACACTGACACACTGCATGGAAAGTATGATGAATGCACTGTCACAGGAAGCTTCAGCATGGCTCTCCTGGTGGAATCAGGCAGAAGAGTAAACAGGGTAAAGACAATTTAGGCCACGTACGGTGGCTCACTCCTGTAATCGTAGCATTTTGGGAGGCTGAGGCGGGCAAATCGCAAGGTCAGGAGTTTGAGATCAGCCTGGCCAGTATGGTGAAACCCTGTCTTTACTAAGAATATAAAAATTAGCCAGGCATGGTGGTGCATGCCTGTAATCCCAGCTAATTGGGAGGCTGAGGCAGAAGAATCGCTTAAACCCGGGAGGCAGAGGTTGCAGTGAGCCGAGATCACACCATTGCACTCCAGTCTGGGCGACAGAGTGACATTCCATCTCCAGAAAAAAAATAAAAATGATTTGAGCAACACATTTGGCAAGCTGGATCCACTGAGGATGTGTGTTAGGGGTGGGGTGGGTGGGAGGGGAGAGCGGGCGTGGGGCGGGGGAATGAGGGAGTGACGGAAGGGAATCCACGCACCCTTTTACAGTACATGTGGAACATTTGTAAAAAGGATCATCTACTTGGCTAAACGGCAAATCTTAAGAAATTTCCAAAACTGGAAATATACAGACTATGTTCCTGAGGTTAGGTTAGAAATCATTTTTAAAAAGGTAACTAAAAAGCCCTAGATCCAAGCTTTCTGAAATTGAAAAATGGCCTTCTAAAGAACAAAGGCAAGTAAGTGATCATGATTGATATTTAAACTTTATTAGAACTAAAAATGAAAACACTCGTATCAAAACTGATAGAAGGCAGTGAAAACAATACTTTGAGAAACATTTATGGCCACACACACACACACACACACACACACACACACACATATATATATATATATATATATATATATATATATATACACACATATTTTGAGACAGAGTCTTGCTCTGTTGCCAGGCACCAGGCTGGAGTACAATGGCGCGATCTCAGCTCACTGCAACCTCCACCTCCCGGGTTCAAGCAATTCTCCTGCCTCAGCCTCCCGAGTAGCTGGGACTACGGGTACACGCCACCACGCCCAGCTAATTTTTGTATTTTAGTAGAGATGGGGTTGCACCATGTTGGCCAGGATGGTCTCGATCTCTTGACCTCATGATCCACCTGCCTCCGTCTCCCAAAGTGCTGGGATTCCAGGCGTGAGCCACCACTGTGCCTGACGGCCTCAAATATTTATATATCATAAAATATAAGAGTCTGAAAATTAAAGAGCTAAGCAATGCCACTTGGAAACAACCCCAAGAAAGCAAAAGGAAGTAAGTTATAAAGGTAAGAATAGAAATTGATGAGACAGAAAACAGAAATGCAATAGAAGAAATCAACAAAACCGATACTGGTTATTTTAAAGGGCAGTGAGTTGACACATCTCTGCAAGATCACGAGAAGAGAGAGCACCGGGAGGCAGCTGCAGAGCCAGGGAACCAGCTGCAGGCGGCACGGAGCCCCAACAGAGAGCAGCGGCCACGGACATGTACGCATCTGAGGTGCTGGAGTAGGTGGACACATTCCAGAAAACCTACAAGTCACCAAATGTGACCAAGAAGACGCAGGCCGCTAATTGGTTCTATAACTGTTAATAACAACCAGCACTAGAACATTCTCCCCAAAGAAAACATCAGGCCCAGAAAGCCTCATGGGAAGCGAGCCAATTTCAGGAGCAGATAATTTATCACTCACGAGTTGCAGAAAAAAGAGAGAAAACTTCCCAACATATTTATGAGGCTAGAAAAAAAGAGAAAGGAAAATTACATGTCAGATGTACTCATGAAGACGGATACAAAGTTCCTACACAAAAATCGCAGGCCACGCCAGGTGGGGTGCCTCACACCTGTCATCCCAGCACTTTGGGAGGCCAAGGCTGCAGACTGCCTGAGGTTGGGAGTTTGAGACCAGCCTGGCCAACATAACAAAACCCCATCTCTATTAAAAATACAAAAATTAGCTGGGTGTGATGGTACATGTTTGTAATCCCAGCTACTTGGGAGGCTGAGGCAGGAGAATCACTTGAACCTAGG